GGACAACACTACCCCGCCCCGTATTGTTCTCTAGAAATTTTGGTAATCTCTGAGGGGGGGGAGGGCGACCCTCCCCCCCTTTTTTTTCAGTTCTGACGTAATGGAATTGTTGCCCTCGGCACGTGCCAGACTGCTCATAAGTAAATGGCGAATGAAATTTCGTTAATTGCGGACTAAATTCCGCAATTCACGAAAGTCCGCGTTACCAGCCCTATAACATCATTTTAGTAAACTTCTAGAAGCTACAGGTCGAACCCTACAGTTTGAGCATTCCTGTCGCGCACGTGCGCTCCTTTAGTACCGGGTGTAGCTCGAAACAACCCATTCCCGCTTGAACCCGTCCCATTTCGACCCATTCCCGAATCGACCTTCCCGTTTGAACCCATCCCGTTTCGACCCATTCTCGAAACGACCTTCCCATTTGAACCCGTCCCGTTTCGTCCCATTCCCGAAACGCCCTTCTCATTTGAACCCGTCGGGTTTCAACAGATACTCGAAAGACCCTTTGCGTTTGAACCCGTCCCTTTTCAACCCATTTGTATAAGACCCTGCGCATCGCAACCTCTTCGCGAAAAGTCTAATCGTTCTAACCCTGGTCTGCGCACCTTTTCTGCTTAAGAATATATGTTCTGAAATATTATTGCATGCCAATGTTTTCTAAAAATATCCACCTCTTTCAAGCAAGCTTCAAAGTACTGTATTATTCTTACTTCAACCACCTAAAGCGTGTTTGCTTTTTTTATTTTAATATGATCCCCATAACGCGCACCCCTGAAACGGTCTATGCACACTCTGCGAAACCGTTACTGCAAAAACGACCTTGTCGCTTTTTAATATTTCACTTCGAAATGGTATTAGCAAGAATCAAATTTTTTGGCTTAGAGTACTGGCTCAGATGAGTGCTTCTAAAGACACTTATAGTTTTTATGGCAGCCTTTTAATTCTATGAGATGGACAGCTACATTGCCGATCGCTTGTTTGCACTACGTTCAATAATGAAGTCTTGCGTACACAAGCACATTGGGTAAGCTAAAAATAGCGTCGCCATCGTGACGCTATTTTTAGGGTACCCAAAGTGCTTGCGTACGTTATTCTAAAACGTCATATTAGTGATCTCGATATCTTGGACAGCGATAAGTCAGACGGGGTGACAGGCATATGATTCCGACTTTATTATCTTTTATGATTTCAAACACTGAACACTCGCGCACACAGGAAAATATCATAGATCAGAAAATGCCTTCGCCTTGTTGAGAAAGTCGAACAGGAAAATCGTGCCATCAGAAAGGCGAAACCCCAGTTCCGATAGTTTATAGTCCTTGTTGCCCCACTTGAGCCCCCTGGCCCGCACGGCACCACTCTTTGCAAGCTGCCGCAAAGATACCCTTGGCAAAGCCTCATCCCGTTTGATCAAATCAATGAAGCTGTAAATGTTCCGGTGAACCCTCCCTGACGCTGTGTTTGTCTTACCAGGTCTCGAAGGTTGTTTCGGGAGAGGGAGAAGTGAGATCAGCAAGGAAAACAGACATTGGACACTTGAACCTAATCAACTGTTAAGAAACAATACAAACGAACCGACCTAACTGATAACAAACGATGGCCGAAGCGGGAAGGGTGTTTCGGGATGGGCGAAATGGGAAAGGATCAAACGAGAAGGTCGTTTTGAGACGGGTCGAAACGGGAAGGTTGAAATGGGAATGGCTCGAAACGGGAACCACCCTTAGTACCTGTGGGGCAGCGACGACGAAGATAGCGTAATCCACGCGCGGTGCTCAGCGGTGTTCAGCGCAGAAGGTGGGAAAAGATGCGGACGACACCGACTCCCTCTGGTCAGGTTACGAAAGAGGGATGGTCGTTTGGTCGTCTTCGCAACGGTCCCTGCAACATGAACCTCTGATCCAAGATCCAGTAGCTTTGACAGCGTTGCACACTAAGTATATGAAACAGAGTACAGAGGGAATACATTCCACTCCGCTCATTGGCATTAGACAGAACGCCTACAGCCCCGAATCCAGCCCTGACAGAGGGAAAGTCCGCGCAGTCTCTTTTTTTTTTTTTCTTTTTTGGCAAATAAGCTATCATCATCACCAGTCGCAGACATTTTACGACTACGCTGACTACGCGCTATGCTAGCTCGCACTATAGCCTACGTAGTGCAGAAGGCAGCTGTCGAAGGTGCATCCATCCAGTTTCAGTGGATCCCTTCCCACGTTAGCATTCAAGGAAATGAGACTGCGGATTCTCTCGCACGTGCCGCTCATGGGGATGTCACACCAACAACTCCGTACATCCATATAATTCGTCAAACAGACTTATTCAAAAAGCCATTCAGAAACACCCTGACCCTGAAACTGCGGCTGGAACACCGCCGTACACAATTCCCAAGAAAAGCTTCAGCAGGCTGGAACAAGCTCTACTTCATCGGATAAGGGCAGGCTGCGCCCGAACCGCTTCTCGACTGCATCTCATCAAACGCCTGTCATCCCCAGCCTGCAGTGCCTGTGGTGCCACGGAGGACATCGAACACATTCTCTGGCATTGCAGAGCGGTGAGCAACCACCGAGAAACACTTGTGACCACCCTCAAACAGCTTAAAATTCTAGCTGGCAACACCAAGTCACTCCTGTTCCCGACAGGTTCGCGGCATTCGAGAACAAAAGCTTTAAGAGCACTGCTTGACTATTTAAAATCCGCAGGCTATAACAGCCTGTAATACGTCAGGAAAGGACCAAGATCACAATTAGCCACGCAATTCGTTCAATATTGTATTACAGTGTAAATAGTGTATCATAGTGTATCATAGTGTTTGTCACGCCACCTCTCCTTCAACCACTCTTGGTTCCCCCTGTCCCCCTAGCAAGGCGAGAAAGCTGACCCCACCACTGGGAGACTAACCTTTCGCCTTGCTTCTACCCCTTTTTCACTTTACAATAAACTACTACTACTACTACGCCGGCGGTCGGTGCGCCAGCGCAAGCCAGTGTCTCGAGGTGTGAAACAACGTCAACTTCGAAACGATGCACACGATATACCCAAAACATTAGTTTAGTTTAGGTTTCTGAATTAGGCTTTTAGAAACAAAAAATCTCCCAAATTATCTTTATTTTGCCGTTTTGCGTTCAAGAGACAATCTGTTATTTTCTGTATTGCGTATGTTATTTCAGTGATGTGCGCCACTAGTATGGTGTAGTTTGGTGCGGAAAGGCAGCAGCCAGTACCATAAAGGCCCGCGGTGCCGAGTCTAGTGAACATGATAATGTGATGAGAATATACATGCATGATGACGACGACATGGATTGTTGGTATTGGGGAGGATGGCAGTCCGATTCGCAGAAGTCCAGATTTCGTAAAGGTGGGTTGGGCGGGTCAGCAGCGAGCCATGGGGATCTGGCACGCCGTTCCATCGGTGCATGAAGGAGCCCTAGGAACATGATGGCCCTGATGCTCACTGGGGTCGAAGCATCAGGCTCCAAGGAGGTAGCCCAGTCAAATTAGAAGCTGCCGCTTCCAAGGAACCAGGGCTCAGACTGAGGCACCGCCGTCGCCCGGTGTGTCATCCTCTCAACGTCGTGGTCGTTGTGTTCTTTATTTATACGCGTATAGACGCTTTACACACGCGCCAAGTTACAGCCGCCATTACTGACCTTCTCGTGTCTTACCGAGATGCCGAGCAACTGAAACGGTAGTTGACGATCCTTTACAAAGGCCGATGCTTTAGAAAAGGACACAGTTGAATCTAATATGGCAATAACCTGGCCTGCTATGGTAATGATGAAGTGAAATAAACGGAATAAAAGGAAACAAAATCTGAAGGTCAGTTATGGCGGCGTCCATGCACAGCTGCTGAAAAGCGTCTATATATGTATAAATAAAATAAGATAAAAGGACAATCGAACGGCCAGCGGCGCGCCGTTCTAGTTATACACGCCTGAAAGAATTTTGTTCGGTTTGTGTCTGTAACCGAGCTAGAACATTACGCACAGAGGCAAATTCAAAGTAATAATAATTGGGTTGAGTGTATATTTTTGTTTATGCAGCCTAGAACTTGGTCTGCCTCAACGGGCGACGAGTCTCCCAGCTGTACTACATGAGCAATTTAGCCAGTGCGGCACAACCGCTAGCCTGGGTGTCTTTAACGTCAAAGCAAAATATATACAATGCAAGTGTTTCTGACCCTACATAACATTTGCTTATATTTGAAATCCAGGGCACAAATTTTTATTTTAGACATCTAATTATTATATTGTCATATTATAACCGCTACATTCTTAGTCAATATGCTGTCACAAATGCATCGTACAATTTTTTTTTTTTTTGATAAGCCTATGTAAAGGTAGCTTGGCCGCAAGCTCTTAGTGCACGGCGGAGTGCTAACTTTACAGGGGCAAAAGGCAGGCCGAAGTTGAAGGTCTCGAGGAATAAAAAGTATTAATTAAAATACCGCACTTTAATTTATGTGCTACGAGTCGGCAGCTATTATATTTCTCGGGAACTTTAAGATTCTTCATTTCAGTGAGAAGAAATTTAAAATTTTGTACAAATGGCCCATAGGACCCAATGTAACAATATTATATCGGGCCCAGGAATAAAAAGTACACAATCCTGATGTTCAAGTAGGTATTAAATAAGAGTGTATTAGTTCCCTCTATAGATATCGCGGGGAACTTAGAATTTCTGCAGTAGTTTGACTGAAATTATCATTTTACTGTATTTTGCTGAGAATTGTCAAGAGACGGCGCAAGGAGACCATGTCCAGGAATGCTGGGCGACAAACAAAAATAACCTACAAGCCTCAAGCACGTGCACCATGCACACGAGACACCTTTGGCCGGTTTGCAGTCTCTCGGTGATCATGAGGTAAGCACGAGTGAGTGCAAGCCTGCCAAAGATACGTTCACATGCTTTCGGCACGTGCTTGCAGCCTGTCAGTGTCTAGAGGGACTCTCCACATTAGTGCCGAAGAATGTAACGACCCTCACACATTGCACACTGCAAAGGAGTAGATATGAATGTTGGTTTTATTGTACATCCACATTCACAAATGGCTTACAGTGTATGTGCATATGTAAATACTGTTTATAAAACACCAACACTGGACACAGGCCAAACTTTTCCTGTAGCCAAACAACAGGACCTTTGTTTAGATTATTATAGCTTCATCATCAAAAGACCATTATAATCACAACTGAAGCTTAAAGCTTCTATCCAGAAAGATTCCTCAGAGCTGCACAAGAGCTGCAACAAGAATTCGAAAGTATGTTGCCTTCAACCACAGCAACAGCATACAATTACAACTATATACAGAATGCAGTTCGCCCTCTTGAATTTATATCAACATCAGGTATCAACAAGCTATCAGATTTTCAACAATCTGAAAGTGTGAAACACATTCAGAGGAGGGAACAGAGGTGCTGAAATATTTCTTATAATTGGGGTCATTAAAAAAAAGTTTTGTAACTTACAATTCTACCTGGTTTCTCTCCAGCCCTTTCTTTTTCAGAAATGTAAATATAAAATATTACCCAATCTCAGTAAAACTTGTTCATATGCACATGTGTACTATCATGGCCCCATCCATATGAAAAATGTTACAACCTAGAACCCGTTTGTGCGACAGGCAGTCTTGTGCATTTGTTGCTCCGCAAACAGAGAACAGGATGTTTTACCATGACAAGTAGGCAATGAATAATGTGAGTAAATACTTATTACTGGTGAAATCCAAGCTATCTCTATTGTTTAGAACTATAAGGCACGAATAGGAAAGGGGGTGTGAATGAGCTTTGGTTGCGAGTTTCTTGAGTCAACAGCACAACAATCATCAGGCAGATGACCAACACCAAACATGTTACAGGTTTAACCCACAGCTGCTGATTGCAAATTAGAAATGCACTTAGGAGCCATAAATAGCATGAACAAACTGCTGACAATGCTATCGAGGTCTTGCTGCAGCCAGAGAAAGGTCTCGTTGTCACCGGTAGATTATTTAACTTGGTTGGCGAGACAGCAGGAGAAGATAATGCCGATGATCTGAAAGCCAGAGAGAGACAGGTTAGCAGGCATCCAAGCCTTTGGCTAGTGGCAAAACCATTTTTAAGTATTCAGCAGTACTGACCTCGATCAGACCGATACCAATGCCAGCAATACCGACATACACAGCATATGTTTTGACGTCAGTCTTCACCTTTTCGTAGCAGCCCTGTGCAATGAGAGAATGTGTTTGAGAAAGAGTGCAGACACTTCCTTCCTTTTCTGCAAACATTGCGTTTCTTGTCTGGAGACTGTATATGCTGCCCAAGTTTTGCCGGAATTTTAAGACACATTTTAAGATAGCTTAATCTTAAAACAGATTAACTGAGTTATAGACTAACAAATCATCCTCTTAGGCTAGAACTTGGTTGGCACTACCAGGGATATTTCTGTCAAGTGGTTCAACCACAACAAGAGACTGAAATTGGGATGTGACACTTTAAAGCAAAATTATACACCATGGTCATGCCAAAGTTCCTATAATGAGAATTGGTCTTGCAACAACCCCCAAAATAGAAAAAAAAAATTTTTTTTAACAAGATTTGGCAAGGTGATAATTAGAGCCATTCAATATATTTGCTCCCATTGTCGTACCAGCTGTCATTCGTTTTAGCAATTATAATGGAATCAGTGTTCATTCCAGGCTTTCAGTGTAAAGTCAGACGACCCCCCCCCCCCCCCCCCCAAAAAAAAAAAAAAAAACAGACATCCCTACTCTTTCAATAATTCGCGTCTCCAGCTCGACGCTCGCCCTCCCGCGGCGGAAAGGGGAAGCTATCTAGTGAGGGTTCCCCGATTCTCCTGCTCAGCGGGCACGGCGGAACTGCTCGCGATTATGGCTCGCGAAATGTCATTTCCCAATGCAAACAACACTCTTCACGGTCCCAACGTAGTGCTGCAGCTGGTATGGGATTGTACCTTACAGGAGAGTTTTAGTATTGCACATAGAAGCAAACGCAAGCAGTGTGCGTTTGCATTAGAGTTGCAAGTCCCACGTTGTGCGTGCGCCTCGTCGCTACGCGCAGTGTGGAACACGCAAAGCTAACGCAAACACACAGCAGTTGCATTCGCTCGTATACGCATTACTAAAACTCACAACTGTTTCACAGGCTTCCAACGCCAACGAAACCTGCTGCAGTGAGCAGACGTGCAAGCAGGTAGGCGTTCCTTCGAATTGGAAAGGCTGAGATTGACAAAACGACGGAGCGTAAAAATAAAAGCAACTAAATGTTATAAAAGATTAATAATTAAAAAAAGTGTTTTATTTTTTATCTGTATTCTGTTTTTTTTACTTTTGGGCATTTAGTTTGGAGGGATATTCGCGACGACTTTGGACTCTTTCCCGATTGTCAGAAGTCGCGACTTTGATATCAAAATATTCTTTACACACCATTAATGTAATTTTACATGGATTTTTCATGTTAGCTAGAATGTTTTTATTGATTTTAGACTATTTTTATTTTATTACTTGGTAATTAAAATGCTGCAGTTGGCACCAGTGATGATAATTAGCACACTTTTGATCGTCACATTTGTTCGCGCGTTTGAAACTAGATAATAAGTGACAAATTATATTAGAGCTTGAAAAATTACGTACTAAAATATCCAAATTTTAGTATTATTATTATTAATAAAAATGGCGGCAATGTATGCCGCCAATTAGCGCGAAGATCCCGAAAATCCGCCATTTCACCATAATAGTCTTCCCAGAAAGGTATAAGTTTGTTTTATTTTTAGCATATGAAAAACTCTGACATCGTTATCAAGATAGACAGAGTCAAACACTGGATTTAATATAAAGTCATACGCGTCACGCGTTGCTATAAGCACACACACACACACACACACAAGCACGCGCACACACACACACACACACACACACACACACTTCAGCTGTCCGACTGATTCCGTCTTTGGGTTGTTAATTATTTATAATTTATATGTCTTGTGGACATATTGTCAAAATCTGATTTGTTCTCTTATTCTTGTGCTGGGAATAATGTTAAAGCAATTAATCATCTAAATACCCCAAAACCCATTAAAGGGCACGCAGTTCATTATTTCCCATGAGAATTATCTAAGCGAGAAAAGGCAGCGAAAACGCACAAATATCAGCACCGATTTTTTCAACAACTACGTTATGAAAGAATCCGAAATTAAGACCTATATCGAGATATTAAATCCAAAATAGAGGTTAGTTTCGCTTTCGCTCCGGAATTAAAATGCGCATCCTTGCGTAAATATTACGCTAAACACCGTTCTTGTTTTCAGGGTAAAGAGGTGACCTGCGCTTATAACACCCTAGCTTCCTCTTATAACTAGAAATAATTTGTGTAGCTCAGTGAGGCCAGAACACTAGACAGGCTCAACAGTGGCACGCATCTCCGACCCTCACTATAACCGCCATTTTGGAAAATGAATGGCGCCACCTATAGTTAGTTGGAGTCGCGAATAGGTTCCCTCCCCTGCTTTTGTCCACCTTGTCCGCTTAAAAAAAAAAAAAAAATTGACATAATCTTAGTTAGTGGAACGAGGATGATTAATGGATTACAGCACACCCCAACCATTCAGGCCTCCACCAACATTACTAACATGACACAGCTAGTGTCAATTCTCAAAAGTGGTATGCAGCACTACGACTGCCAGATACAACCAAGTTGCCGGAGATGCATGTCTACCTTTTGTTTATGGCCGATTCACATGACGGACTGATCTGCGGACGAATTGATCACGCTACGACACATCTGCAGATCATCTGTTTCCCAGGCGCATTTACACAAAAAAGGGTAGATGACAGCGAGGATGGACCAAACTACTTTGCAATCCCAGTTTAACGAAATGCCAACAGCACACCATGGCACCGTTGCCCACGAGTGAAAAAGATGTCTGCCACTATGACTGCAGCTCAACCGCCATCGTATTAAGACTAAAAAAAGAATTGTAGGCCGCTGCTATTTATTGAGCAAGACAGAATACCGCTCTAGGCTTAGTGCGAAGCACCACCAGCTTTACTACCTTGAGGTGTGACAGAAGTAGGGATTTTTTATCAAGAAGGCTCGGCATAGAAGCGACATACCACTAGACTCGTGAAGGGGCGTATGCTGATGTCCTCGCCCCTACGAACTCACGCACAACATTTCAGCACCACAAGTTCAAAAAGGTCTCGCTGGTTGAAAGGCTGGATGGATGCGCAGGAAAGATGACTGCGTGCTAAAAAAGCTTTGACAGAAGCATCTCGACATAGACTCTCAAAGTAGTACCGAAATCTGCAGCTTTCACATGCACAATAAATAATTGTGCGAGAAAACGAACCAGCAAATGCACAAAGTACAATGATGCGCTAACATTGCCTTGCTAGTCAGAAAAAAAAAAAAGTGTGTCATTGCCAGACTAAACGCTTTTCAAGTCAATCCCCGGCCAAAATTCTGCATGTGAAAAGGCATTAGACTATTTCAGTCCGCAAGTCCGCGGACCAGGCACAGAGTGCAGGAATCGGTCACGCTGATGGTCATGGGATACACGGTCTGCGGACAAAAATCGCAATTTGGTGTGCCTTGTGAATCTGCCATCAAGTGCTAAACTGCAAAAATCTGTGGCGGAGTTGGAAAATGTTTTCATTTCTCTCTGGGTTCACCAATGGAAGGGAGAGAAGGAGGAAGATGCTCCTTTAGTAGACTTTGGAGGATAGGATAATCCTCAATGAGCACTAAAGCAACGTACCAGGGGACTCGTCAAAGAGTCTGAACTGGCCCAGTCACCTGTGGCTACCAGGATGTTACCCCCCTTTCCCCAACTGCAGGTCAACTCTTTAAGGCATCCAAAACAAGTATAGATGAAATATGGCCATATACACATGCAGCTTCTCATGGAACACCTCAGAATTAGAAGTTAAAATTAATGTAAAGATTAAAAAACAAAAGAGCAAGCCCTTATGTGTACCCCAGGTTGGTACCAGGCTGTTTAGAATCAAAATGTCCAGTGCTTTAAAGCTACTGCAAAAGAGGACCTAAATCAGTGATTCTCGAACTTCTGAGGTGCCCCACATTAGAAATTCACCAAGGACACAAAACTTTTAAAGTCAATCACTCTGTAGCGAGGCATATGCCAAAGTCAGCAAAACCCCGTCAATTGCCATGCCCAACGAACAGAACCAGAAATGCAGTTTCCTTACCACCGAGAAATAATCACTGGAGGAGCAGGAATCCTGGTTCTTGCAGCAGCTTGATGGTACTGCTTTCCCAGCTTTTGTCCAGTCGCTGTAGTTGTCCACACCACAGCATTGCAGCTGGTTAGAAGAAATATGAAGCAATATGTATAATAAAACCACAAGATTTAAGAAACTATGAACACAATAACTAATTAAACTACCTCATAAGAAACGTTTAACAAGAATTGCTTACACATGTAATGCCCAAATGGCAAGTACAAGTACCTATGCTTACGTGCATGGAAGACAATATGACACTCGAAGCAACAGCTGCAATGCTAAGTACCTTTGCAATAGCTTCAGCTTTGCACAGACCCCCGGCATGAGCATCAAGCCAGGATATAAGGCATAGTGCAACAGTTGGACCTTCGGTACTTATTTGCATAAAGCAGACAATCCAATCTGTTATTTGACAAGACAGCTGCATGCATGGTGGCTAGAAATTTCTTGGCAGTAGAAGGTGATTTAAAGTTACCAAAATCATAAAGGTCTGGAAAACCTTCATACACAAAACCATAGTTTACAACAACTGCAACATGCAATGTACCATCTAAAGAAAAAAAAAGCTTCTGTTTACACTTAGAAGCTAGGCCTTTAACACAAGAAACGTGACAGGGAAGGAAGACACCAACTCCCACTGCACCCTAGTGAAAGGTTCGGGATAAAGAGGCCCTTGCTTGATTATCTGGTTGCCTTCCCCCATCTGTGCTAGGTACAGTCGCAGACAATATCAAAAAGGCCAGGCAAGCTTGTGGCTCCGAAGATCTCCAGTGCTATCAAATGGAAGAAAGCAGAGTTATCGAGGCTATTGTGTGAACAAGCAGCATGTCAGCAGCTGTTCTATTTTTGTTTTTACTCCCACTTGGTCTGCAAATGATTGCAGAGTCAGCAGCGATAGTAGTAGTGCTTGGTGAAATAAAATAAAAACTGCTTATTGTCATTGATTCTGCAAACTTGTTATTAAACGGCCGAAAACTGATCGCTCTACCTGCAACATAATGAATTCAGCCACGCCCGATTTCGCCTTTTGTCGCTGGACGCCCCTATATTCAACAAAATCCGCATTAACTCAGCAACTGCTAGTCAAAGAGGGAGGGACCACAAAAATCTGAACAGCCGCTGAAGCCTTGATAATGGTTGTTTCTACTGATAGACAGCGTGGCTGGCCTTGGAAGTCACGCGCTCGCCTGGACTTTTCCGTATCGTCCGCGACTGTACAGTGTCCACATCTGTTAAACTAACATCAATGAATTATAATAGCTTTCATCTAAAAAAATGGGAAATATTTATAAGTACACCGAAGGAAAGAGAAGAGGACACATTAGCTTAATGTCTGCCGCTAGCTGGCATCTCATTCGTGCCCCTTGGCCTTACCGAAACGACAGGTGCAACAAGCGTGGACAGCACGAGCAACAAAATGTCATGGTAGCCATGGGAAAATTTTGAATAGATATTCAATCTTATTTTATCTTCAAACAATAAATTGAGAATGATAAAAATAATGAGTTATTTATTGGTGTTCCTGTATTAGTTGTACAATACTACATCACATGATTTCAATAGTTTCAGTTTCGAACACATCCAGGTCTTATGTCGTTTGGTAACCATGCTGCTCATTGCTCTGCGGCTCGCATTCGTAGTGAAAAGTGATTGTGCATCAGAATTACAATAACCCATGAAGCGAAGCAATAATAAAAAAAAAAATGACTCCAAATAGATTCAACTCGCAAAGCCTGTAGCAAAAAGGGACATGTCAGACCTCTCGGGAATCGGCACATCCAGTTTGAACGGCATACAGAGGCTTATGCATCATTTTCGCAGATGCAGTCCTAGGACGTTGGGGCCTTTCTATCGTTTTCCTTTACCACTATCTTCCTCGGTGATAATTTGACATGCCGCTTCTCAGGTATGCCAAGGTCAACTCATTTCGCTTACATTCTTTTTTCCCCAGCCTTCTCGTCCTGCGAGCGAAACAGCATTTTTCTGGTCGAAGCAAGAACGCATTTGCGGCTCGTCATTTGACGATCGTATCGGGACACAGTTGAAACAATCGGAGTTACAAACGGTTCCTTCAAAGTGTCCTCTGTAGCACGGCGTACGGCTCTAAATATAAAAACCAACATCGGCACAATAGGAGACTCTGGAGCTTAAAGGAGCTGTGCAAAAATTTCAAGGCTTTGCTTAAATTATTGTGGAAGTTGATGCCTGACACTTCCGAAGTGAACTACAAAAAACAGACTTTGCCTGGATACGCTAGTTTTTATTTTAAAAAATGAAAAAGACCCAGGTTTTTGCTGCCTCTCAACTCGTACGTGGTCTTCCGGGTCACGTGCACAGCAACGTTAAGGGGGTAGGCGCGGGGTTCCGGAAAAGTTCTCTCTTTAGAGCCATCAGTGAGCAGCGAGAACTCCTCCGCTCGCGACCGCGTGACGACGTGCGGAGGAGTCGTCACGCGGAGCCTAACCTCCTTGAGAGAGAGAGAGAGCCGGACGGGTATGGCCGGACGGGTCCGGCCATACCCGTCCGGCTCTCTCAAGGAGGTTAGGCTCTTTCCCCCCTCCCCCTCCGGCTTCTGGCAGCTGTTCACGGTAGCAGATGAAGCTGATAGTTTTGTGGACCTAGGATAGATGGCGCCACTAAAACTCCGCAAAATAAAAGTTTTGTCGATCATACCAGGTTTTTGACGCATTTACATATAGCTTGGAACGACAAGATTTATAGAAAAATTACCCTTTATTGAGCAGGTATTCGCACAACTTACTATCTTTCTACAAGATTCCCCAGTGATGTCACGCCACTTGTTTCTCATGGCCGCCGCTCGCGGCTGCAGATCGGGGACTATTCAAAGTTTTGCCTCGCTATTATGCGGCGGAATCGCGACATTTCGATGAAAGGAGGTGCGTTTTCTGTCATTTGTGACAAGGTGAACAATATCAAAAGCAGAAGATGCCAATTCTTTCAACGTTAAAATCGTTGCACAGCTCCTTTAAATGGTCGGCTATCCTACAATTATCTCAGCAAAATATGAGATGTCTGATGTCACCCGCTGACTTGAATGCGTGACATCCTCATGGCGCCGCAGTTAAAGGGCATTCTGATGCTCCGACTTTGCTTATCAAGTCTGGTCTATGTCGTTATCAGCTTTTGTTAGTGGTGTTAGCAGCTTTTGAAGCCTCTAAAAAAGGCACCTAAATTCACGAAGAAAGGGTAAAAGCACAGGCGAGCTGGTGAAGAACAAGACTTGTCGTTTTGTCCGTTTTTTTATTTTTCCGTGTCTCCGGTTTATGATGGAAGACCTAAATTCAGGGTGTCGAATCGAACCGAACCCGAACCGAAAACCGGATCAAAACAGTTATTTTTGACCGAACCGGTACAAAACCGAAACAGAAATCGGATGCTTCATATTGAACTTGAACAGGAACAAAACCATAATCTGATGTGGCAGTTACCGGTTCAACGTAAGCGGTTCAGGGCCAATTGTGTCAATAATTGGTTAATGGGAAAAGTTAGGGCGCATTTCTTATATTGCCAAAACTAATCCGACATACCGTCAGATATTTTTGCATTTCGTTTTTGTTACTCATGTAATAAAAAAATATGTCATCATCAAAAGCAGAGACACAAAAAGACCGCGTGGTTAGCGAGCTTCTTCAGTTCCCTCTACTTAGGCGTCTGGAGAGCTTCAACTTTAGTTAGTTTCTTGAACTGACCCTGGCGTTGGCGGTAGCGGCGATTTCAAAGCACCGCTTGGCCGCTTGGCTATGAAATGTCCAAGTGTCGGAGCAGATTCCGCCCCTTTAGGCACTGAGGCCTACGCGTTTGCGAATGTTTGACCTCAAGATGCACTGTACTTGCAGTGAATGAGCCATTTAGCCAATGGAGCACCGAAAGCGCACCACGTGACCTTCCACTTCAGTGCGGCGACGTGCCGAAGGAAGGTGGGACAAGTACCGCGCTGCATCGGCAGTATAGTTGTTAACGTCACCTGTGGTCCATTTCAATAAAAAAAAAAAAAAATCTTTTCAATGTGTTCGGAATGTTACCTTGCAAAAAAAAAAGAAAAAGAAAACACGGGTTGTCGGAGGCAACGTTATTTGGCGATAATTCTCCGACGCGACGCGCCTCGGAAGGAGGCCGGGGAGAGGCAAGGCTGAGAAAAAAATGTTCCTTTGTATATTGTTTTGTAAGTTTGTCCGACTATATATCAATGCCAGCACGCCACCTATTCAACCTAGAGCCTTTGTTCGACCATTTGCTCATTTTTGTGTGAAGTTCTCTTTCATCGTCCTCAACTGAGCATTCGAGAAACGACGTTCGCTGTGGTGGCATTACCAGGAACTTTGTTCGGTGGCTGACAGTTTGAAATGCGAGTACTGTTATATAATATTTTTGCAGACTTAATGTTAACAATTTCGATTTTCGCAAGGCAACCTGTTGACTATTGAGCGTTGTTTGTTTGGCGTGCGAAGAAGCCACCGACACCCTCTGGAGAGGATCTGGGTTGGGGTGCCCAGTTGAGATGAGGCACCTCAAGGTCGTTGCCATTTTTGGTGAGTTTTAATGTTTCGCCATTTTTGGAGACTAACACCTTCCGCACGTGTTCCTGCTCATTGGGAAGCTAGTGAGTAGACCAATTTATGTAGGACACGGTGGGTGGCCTCCCCGTAAGGCAAGGTTGACAACACGGTTGTCAGTATGTGAGCCTTTTGGCTAACCTAAGCGAACGTTTTGGGGTGCTAGTTGAGAGTGGCCGAGCTGGCCGGTGAGCTGCTCGGCCAGCGCGAGATCTTCTCAGCCCAGCACGTGCGTGTTCGTCGCTTTGGAAAGCGAGCAAAGCACGCGCTATACGCACAAACACTAAAGACGGCACCGGCCACAAGCTCTTTTTTTCGAAAGGTCTATAGACCTATCCTGAAATTACACCCTCTTCTGGCAGAGTTTGAAATGTTGCACAGCTGCGTGTGCAAAAGATACCATAAAAATGGAAAGCCGACAGCTTATATATAGCTCACTTAAAGGGGCCCTGCAGTCATATTTTAGCGTCTACCTTTTTTGCGGTTTCTACGTCTCTTGGGGTTGGGGCAAGCCAGCGGGCACGGAGAGAGTAACTAAATATCAGTGCGTCATATTCTAACCGGACGACGCGGAAACCTCCTCCAACGACGAGGGCGACCCGCGGTACCGAAAGTGCGCAAAATGCGACGTCTTTGGTCCTGGGCTTGCCACTGGTCAAAGCCGTTAAGAGCTTTTTTTTTTTAGTTGAGATACAAAATATAAGTGTCGCGAACCGTTTCAATTATGTATGAAAGTAGTTTTTGTTCACTATTTTAGATAAGAAAAGAAACAAATGCAGTTTAGAAAATACGGAAACGAGAAATGACCCGTCGACATACCCGCCACCAAGCGGCGGAAAAAAACGGCGCATACTAGAAAAGGCTAGTGGGATGAGGCTACGACAAACGAGGAGCGTAGAAAGGTCCCGGATGTACGCGGCGGCGCTGTGGTCGTATACCGGCTCAAGAATCCGACCGGTTCCGAGCGTTCCGAAGGCCTTCGGCGCGGGCCCTGTTGGCGATTTGGCCATTTGGCGGTGCGTCAGCGCGAAGTGGCTCACGTTCTGAACTGATCTTTACTGAACTGATCTTCTGAACTGATCTTTACCCCGTGTTTGCTGTCGTTTGTGGCCAATGAAATGTTATGCCGAATTAGTGTTTAGTCACGCTGCAAATGCAATACGAGCTGCCCTGGCCGCCCGCTTCATACAGCCTATCCAACACGTGCTTTAGTGGCGCCCTCTCGAGCCGTCGACACGGAGTGCGGCAGCCGTGTGCGCTCGATGAGCTCACTACTCCTCCTCTAGTTCAAGGCCACTCAAGGCAGGACCTATGACGTCATGAAGGAGGTTATTTTTTGCTTGTTTTTGTAATTCTAATTTGTCTATAAGTTTTAAAATAAAGCGAAATTTGAGAAAAGAAAAGTTGGATTAAGTTACTACGTTGAGTACGCTCAGGTTCAGTGCAAATTAAAAACCAGTCAAAAAGTCATTGCAGGGCCCCTTTAAGAACAATATTATACTTGCCACATTAATGGTGTATTTTGTGCATTTCACTGTGCAGGGTTTTCAGATCTTCCTGAAGAGTGATTAGTTTTGGGATGGGTCTATTGCAAGTATCTCGTGCTGAGAAAAGGCTGCAGGAAGTGCTCGGTCAATATTCAAAGGCCGAGTTAGGAACCAGTTCGAACCGGTTCACGCTTATTAAAACTGGTAACCTGAATGATATTATGTGCGCTACCTTAAACCGGAACCGGCCAGGAACAAAATACAATGCTACTGAACCCGAACCGAACCAAAGTAATGACCGGTTCGACACCCTGCCTAAATTCCTGTCCCATGGAGTGAAGTCTGCAGTCTGTAGCAGCGAAACAAGGAATGAATTCCCACTGGCTGCCACTGGTCATATCAGATGCTTCATCATGGAAGTAGCTGAGGCCGCTCAAGGTCAAAGCAGACGCGCCTCAGAAAAGAATAAAACAAAGAAAAGCACAGCAATGTAGATGCGTGGCCACAAAAGCCGTGGAGCCGAGGGGGGGGGGGGGGGGGGGGCGGCGCCTGCGCAGTGGGGGAGCGTGATGTCACCTCCGAAGCGCAGTGTGAAAAAGGAAGACGCCAGTGGCGTGCTGCTTGCAGGAATGTGCCGAGTATACGAATGCTTTTGCGTTCCTACACGTAAGCGGTCTTGAGTGTTTTCTCGAATTTTCTCTACGTTGGTGTGGTAAAAATGCCAGATAGCGCTTGGATAAATAAATTGAACATAAAATTCCTCAAGTTTACCCACAGTCTGCCGAAAGTTTTACTGCAGAAAATTAACCGTGGTGCATGTCCACTTTCTTTTGTTGTCCTTATGTTTTACCGGGAACCTGATAAAGAGCCAATAAATGCAAAAACAAGGTTGGAAAAAAGGTTAATACCTTTCCAAACATTTTTTTAAAAACATGTCTAAAATTAACACAGCAGCATGAATCACACATAACTTTACAATTTTAACTTAATTTAATGATGGAGTGTATGGCTGAAAATGCCTTTTCCGCACAGTAAATCTCGCATATACACATCCTTTGGTAAAAGACTGCAGCAGCAAAATGTCAAGATGTTGCATGCTAGAAACAGTATTAGTTTTAGTGTACGGGCATGAAGATGTGATAGGCAACCTGTAAGGAATTTTTTTTTTATATTTATTTTACTGTGTAAAGAACAATAAAGTATAGTGGTGCTCCCCTAGCAAGTGATGCAGAAATTAGAACCACAACCTCACACAAACCATTGGCAGATACTGTCAAACGTATACTGTCAAACGTAATTTAGAAAAAAAAATCTAATGAATGGGACATGTTTGCGGTGAAAGTACATATTTTTCAAAATCTAGGGGTTGGAATTTTTCGGTTCAAATGTATGTTCACCCCAGCAAGGAAAGTGCCATTTTGACGGTTCGAATGACCCTTGCAACCACTGTTCCTTGCCCTTTCTGAAGTACACCCTCCTGCAACCTTGTGTTTTCCCTTTTTCCTCCTTTCTGTCTTTTCGGTTTGCTATAGTTCCTTGTGTATTCTTGGTATTGACAGCTGGTTACCTACTTTCTGCAAAGGTGAATTCTGAGTGTTCCTTGATATGGAAGTAATAAAGTCACCTCCTGGTCACTGCCTTACCGACAAAACAGAAGAGGTAAGATTTTTGAAGTCACATTTGAAGTAGTAGCTGCAAGTCCTTTATTGTGACCAAAGTTTTCTATACTCTTGTTGCCGTTTTTTGTAAAAAATGTTTTCTTTTTAGGTTCACCGACTTTCTTTTCAAAAAGATAAAAGGAAGGAATTGGTTGTCACTGTTGTCTCTTCTGGCCAAGGCACCAGACATCTTAACTCCATCAGTTTTTGGCCAATTGTGAATTGATGCACACCAGATATTGCTTTGAAGGACAAGTGATCTGTTTTGAAGATGCAATTCTATTTTCCACTGCTAAGCGCAGGTATACTCGCCCTTGTGACAGAGGGCGCTAAATTTATTGAGGTGGATATGGCGTGGGAGAAATTAAATTATTCTCGAGTTGTTGCTCTCAAGCAATACTGGGCATCAATGGTGCTTTATGACTTACTGTAACTTAACCCTTTAATAGAAAGTTCCAGAATGCGCATGCAAATTCTTGCTCGAAATTATGAATTTCACAAAACTGACAAAAATTAAGGGCTCCCAAACAAAAGGGTGTTACGTATACTAGAAAGAGATACAGAAAACAAAAATATTATTGTAGCCGATATTATGCAAAGAAAATGTATTCATTTACAGTCAAACCTATTTATAACGAACAGCAGGAAACCCTACGATCAGTTCGATATAGCAAAAAACATTTACAACAAACTTCCACGATGAGTTCGTTATACACGGGTGCAATTAAACCCGTTGCCGTTGGACACGTTGCTCTTTAATCTAAAATGCGATAGGCTTATTGCCTCTTGGGGCGTGGCGTGTACAGCCCCAAGTGAGCGCGTGACGTGAGGAGGGGGGGGAGGAGGGGGTCCCTATTTTTGCTTTTGGTCAAACTAAAATGACTTTAGGTCAAACAGGGCGCGAAGGGCAAGGAGGCGAGAGCTTCCCTTTTTCATCTCTTCGCTTCAGCGTTGTAACAAGCGCTCGCACCAAAAACTTTTTTTTTGTTTTGCTTCTTGTGCATGCGTGCAGTTTTTTTTTTAGCTTATCTTTTTTTTTTTTTTTAAATCGGTTCCCTTCGCAAGCAACCGCGTTGTTCTGAATATTATTTCCTCCTCCTCCTCCAATTTTTGTTCGCAGCTTGAGCTTTTGGAATTATTCTTTTTTCCTACTTTTTCTGGAGGGAAGGAACTGGCTAGAAGATTGTTTGTGCACGGGGAAAAAGCTTGACATAGCCAATATGTTGTTCAATATAAAAAGTACTTTCTAGATGCATCTGTATTTAAATTTGCCGCGAGTTTGATATAGACAATAATTCACTGTACGTGGGTTCGTTCTAAACGGGTTTCACTGTAAATAGCTCTAGGGCAGCTGCAACAAAACTGACTTCTAGAGGCAGGGTCTGACTTGTTCCAGCAAATGTTGGAATTGCTCAATGAGCATCTGCTTGCAAAGCAGCTGCAGACACCCACCTGGCTCTGAATGAAGTCCCAAGCCTCTTTCACGGGGGTCACAACGCCAGGTCCCTCCCGATCATAGTCACGCAAGCTCTGCTCAAACCTGTCCTTGGCCAAGTGCTCCACCTGGGTAAACGAAGAGAACATGCAGAATACAATGTTTGTCTACAAGTACGCCCAACATCTTCAATTACTCTATGTAGTCAGTTACAAGTTAACAGTTTTCAAGGGAAAGGAAGGCTCGGGAGGAGGAAGAGGACAGAACGCTGAAGAGAGAAGAGCTTTGCCTCCTCTCCTCTCCAGCACTGTTTGCTTGCTCCTACCCAGCCCTCCTTTCCCTCGAAAACTTTTCTTAACCTGTAACTGACTGTAGGAGACAATTTTCCATGCCTACAATAAACAGGGTGTTTTGTTTTAAGGATTTTCAAATTTGCTTAAGAAAAGTCATGAAAGCTACACTAATGCGGTCAATCTGTGCAGGCGAGTTACACGGCCAGGAGGAGATAACATAAGGAGATAATCGCTACAAGTAAATTAACTTTTTCATTAGTGAAGACAGACATGATTTCAATCAGAAACTTGGCAAGAGTCATTGAAATCAGGAACTGCAGCAAAGCTAGAGGTACAAAAACAGTCCCAAGCTGTTTTTCGGTCTCTCAGCATCAGAGTTTTCGCACCGCCAGCATTGCACGAGTGGCAACTTTAGTACACCATCACGCTTCCCACGCACCCCAGATCTTTCCCAAATTTACTTATTTACCGGTTTCCGATGACTCATCAAGTTTCCACCTGAAACCACACAACCAGACGTTTGTTTTCACTAAATAAAAAGTTAAGTTTTACAGCTTTGCTAAAACAAACTTGTAGACCCTAAAAAAAAAAAAAAAAAACACCCTGCTTTAGCACCACACACTATCTGCATCGGAAGACTAAAGAGATATAATCCAGTAGTATCAGAGGCGGATCCAGAACTCCATTTTGGGGAAGGGGGGGCAGAAAATTTGTAAGGATACTGTTCTCCCATTCTTTCTCGTGTGCCGGGGGTCCACCCATGTCAAATTGCCCTCTGAGAACGGGGGGCAATAAGTGCTGTAGGGACCCTTCTCCTTTGGGTCTCATTATGCATTTCCATGTCCTTAGTTTGGCAGGTTTAAAACTGAGATGAATATTATTGCTCAGCTTTGTTCTGACCACTTTTGCAGAAATAGTATACAAATGTTTTTTTGTTTTTCTTTTTCTAAAAAATGAGAAAGTTCCACTAATGCAGTCTGTGCAGGTCAGCTATATGACCAATGGGACATAATATAGGGGACTATTACAGTGCAACCCACTTATGATACTGAGAAAACCAGAAATTTCAATCGTTATAACTGATTATTGTATCTGGACTAGAAACATAGTTTCCAGTCTAGAAACTGATCATTACAAGTGGTACATCATTATATGTGCCATCGTTATAAGTGGGTTGCACTCTAGTCGCAATAAGTCTGATAATTAACTAAAACATGTTAATTAGCTTTTTCACAGGCAAAAACAAACTTACAATTTCAATCAGAAACTTGCTCAGTCATCGAAAAGCAGTAAATTTTAGAATGATGTGAAGCCTGTGCAAAGCATAGTGGTGCACTAAAGCTACTACTTGCACTGCATGCACAAGGCTGGCAGTGCAAAAACACAGTTGATGAGACGAAAGAAACATGTGGGTGCATAGAAGTGGGACGCATTTTTAGGACCCAGAAAAACTGAGCACATATCTTCCTCCAATAGACCAATTTAGTGATTTTCGGGTTTCTAATTTCACGAAACTTCACAGACTGCTCGTTTTACTTTTACTGATCACCATTTTTTTTGTGGCACCCATCCTAAATTTTGGTCCCGATTTGATGACGAAACCCCTCCCTATTGCGAGTGGATTAGTGTCTGAATTCTGGGGGGCTGCGCATGCTCAGTTTTTCATGGTACCTAATCTGTGTTGCTTCTCATTTGTGTTGCTCAATCTAGGCAGCGAACGTCAATAGACCTACAACGTATGCAGTCCTTCTGAATGTCGTTACTGCTTCAGTGGCTCGGAAGTGTTTCACTGGGCCAGGCCAGATCTCCTTCGTTGGTTTCCTAGTACCCATTTCCCTAACCCCCCTGCCCCTTCTTAAAAAAAAATTTTTTTTTCTGCTAATAACATGTACAAAAACACGACAGCATGACTCTCATTCATGTTGAAAGCGGCGTCAATTTACCCTTGCCGTCCTATCAAGTGTGAAAATGTCTTCCAGTGAGTTAGCCGACACAACCCGAATTGAGAATCCCCTCAACAGAGTTCAAAACCCCCTCCTTACCTTGCCCTTGTAGACAAATCCCAATGATCCAGCAGCAATTTCAGCCACAAGTATCAGGAACAAGAAGACAGAAAACTGGAAAAGAATAACCCCCGTTATAACCTTGTGAGAAATGATAGGAGAACGGACATTGGCCTTCAGTCAAAGAATGAAGAGTCGCAGTAAAAAAGCGACAACGCCCAGTAAATCCAGAACAAGCATGATGAGTTAACAGTGCATCTTTGCATTACATGTTAAATGACAATACCTTTTACAAGCATATAAAACAGAACTTTAAAACAACTACCGTAAAACACCCCGGAAGCGCCAACTTCGTCCAAGCACCCACTATTAACATTTCCCAATGTGCCCAATTTGACCAGACAAGTGCCGATGTCTACATTAACCCAGTTTACAGTGAAAGTGGGGTGGGCACTCCCCCGGCATTTTACAGTACTCCACAGGAAGAATTTTAGCATTTATTTACTGTCACAACCCTTCATCTAATCCTATCTCCTGTTTTAACAATGCTGCAGGTTTCAGTGCTCCCGCACAAAAATGCCAGACACTGAACGAATCCAGCACAATTATGTAATTGTATTTTGCTGTTTCCAAGATTGCAGCTCTGCTCATGACTTACAAAACCATGTCCTAACTACATAGATATTTACACTACTCAAATTTTCCTGCACCTTTAATAAAAACAAGTGCAAAGCAGGGGTGCACAACGTGCGGCCCAAGGACATGACACTACGAGATTCGATGAAGACTGCAACCAGTGATATTGAAAACCTGTCTGCCAGACACTGAAAACCCCCACAGTTCCCAATAAACATTTTTTTTTGGCCCACATCATCTTTGAGTTGTGCACCCTGGTGTAAAGCATTTGTTATGCAAATATACCTGCCATACACCAGGTGTTGCAGCGAAGACTAAAAATCATACCAATAAGGTGGTAGAAAAAGAAAAAAATGCTTTTCAGGAACGAACTTTTAGCCATGGTAGATGTCAGGGATTGCAAAAAAAAACACACAAAAAAACATACTAATTGGCTAACTAATTAACTAGAATTTACCAATGAACCCAAAATTTTCCTTTTTTTTTTTTTTCCTTACGACATTAAGGTTTTTAATTGGAATCACAAGTTGACGTTTGCTGTGGTTGGCAGTTTGTTCCCAAAAAGAGTCTTTTGTTCTCGATTGGCAGGGTTTTTTTAAAGTCTTCTGAAGTACCTGGTACACACACAACCCATTGACCTGTGCCCATTGGTGAGACTGATTTCCTAAAAAATGTTTTAAAAGCCAGCCCAAAACATACAAAATTTCAATAAGTCAGTAAGTATAGACCCATTTCAATAAATAACATCTGACTAATGTCATTTTCAGCATTTGTGCATATGAAACAATAGATTGTGGATTTGTAAACACTGGAATGGTGTATATGGCCATTTATAGCATATCTATTAACAAAGAAGGAATGCTCGCACATGCAGAGAAATATTAGAATTCATATTAGACTGACCTTTCACCAAGAATCTGAAAGTGGTCGGCAACGTTCGTTATCAGCAGACAGTATTGCCACGAAGCATACAGGCAGCGGAAAAATGTTTGAGAAGGGTGCCTAAACTGTGTTGTTAACTACTGAGTACATGATGTAACCAGAAGAGCAGGCTACTCCCTTCATGATGAGAAATTATGTAAAAAAAATTCATGCCCATAAAAAAAAAAAAAAGATTGTCACTGTTACTCATGGGGAAGCCTCTCCACCTCTCATGTACCGCACAAGGATGCAACATGAAGATGTATTAAATTAGGACTCCAGAAGATTGACCCGAGATAATACTCTACACAGTTCAATACCGGTTTTAATTTGGTTTGTATACTTAAGCAATTATTCCAAGTTTTAAGGACTCGTTCGGAGTGGTAGGTTTCAAAATAAAGCCTATAAAATTCACTTTTGGTGCTCTATGCAGAAGACATACTAATTAGTGATATGAATATTTCTGCAAACACATTTGGTTTCTTCGAAGAGTACAATTGCACAAAATCGCGTTTCTGTCACAAATGAAGGACCCATAGCCCACCAGAATGAGCATGCAGTAGCTCTCCTGCATGGCTCCACAACATCCCAGGAAAGCCACCAAGAACACGATAGAGCCAACGACAATCAGGATCACAGGAGCCGACACATAGTTGTCCCCTATCACAGGCCCGGTCTTCTTGAACAGGTGAAGACTGTAACCACCGCAGACGATGATGATGATGCCCGAGATCTGCAGAGAGGTGCCACATTCAGACATGATCTGACCTGGCTGCCCAAAGATAAATTAAATTTAACCAAACACTTGTAGCAACATGCTAGAAAATTTTAGGCCGAATACTTGGCAGTGTCAGATGGCGGTCATACCAGTCAAAAGCAAACTAGCAAAAAAACTGACACACCAAGAATACAACACACTGAATGGTATGAAGTGAGCATTGCTTTGAACAGTATGTGCCGAGAAACTGAGGGAGAGGAGGCGAGTGCAGGTGGGGAGAGCAGAATGCCAAGGTCCGGTTGGAATGAATAGTAGATAGACCTAAAGCTAGCAGCATTTGTCTCCACTGCACTCGTCAAACGCATTAGAACACAGAATGCCAGCGTCCGGCTCTTGCATTCGAACACATTCGACAAGTGCAGTGGAAACAAAGGCAGCTAGCTTTAGGTCTATCTACTAATCATTTGAATCAAAGATTGGTGTTCTGACGTCCTCCCTCCCTCCCCCCTTTCGCAGTTTCTCAGCACATAGACGTCAGTATAAGTATTTTATGGGCTTTCTCAATTTGAGTTATGCCAAGGTGTTCTTGCCTCCATGCATTCACAGTGGGAAAAAAAACAAAAAAAACTGCAGAATATTTATTGCAACCCAAAGTCTCACTCACTTTATAGCTAGCTGTCATATGGTAACAGTGCCCCAGATATTCTAATCCAGACGAATCCTTGTTACATGCATAGATGAGCAAAAAAATTAACTCGTAACGGCAACACTGCATTCATGGTGCGAAAGAATAGAAACACCCATGTGATGTTTCAGTCTCCCTTAGTTGGGCTAAAAAACATGTCTGCTAGCTTCAAGATCCTCTGCACAAATTTAGGTTTTGCTGGTTTTCACTAGTAATCACGTGCTCTATTTGATATCCCTTTAATGAATCTTGCCTTTGCTAAGGAAGACTGTATTGCCTTCTTTTAGTGTGCATTCAGTTCTATGTAAGTCTCAAACAAGATATAAAGAAAACAAAGGTTTGTGTGCATGAACCATTATTAAAATAGTCATACGGTTTAAGCCAAATGGATAGGTAGTTCCAAATGGCGCAAAGTGCAATGGATACAAAAACCAGGAATTATTCCTTGCGATGAAGTTAAAGGCCGACGACCAGACTTGACATTCTGCAAGGCAGAAGATCCTCCTCACCATGGGGAGGAGGAAACGGGCAACAGTGGACAGGGTAGAAGGGGGGAGAGGAGGAAGCGGGCGAAAAGTGGAAAGCGCGAACTGGTCGTCGGTCTTTAAGCAGGAACCGATAGATACGCTTTGTGCATATCTCATTTAAGGGGGGATCGGTGGCCGAGTGGTCTAGCGCACACCAGCTTGGAGCACATATAGCGAAAGCTCACGCTGCAGAACCCAGGGATCCTGGGTTCGAGCCCCACCCCTGCCCGTTTCGATCTGGATGAGCATCGTACCGGCGTGCGGTCGTGTATCACTACTGCGTGATGCACGTTAAAGACCCCAGGCTAGCGGTTGTACCGCACTGGCTAAATTTCTCATCTACAGCTGGGAGACTTGTCGCCCCTGTGAGGCAGACCAAGTTCTAGGCTGTATAAACACACACACAACCCAATTATTATTTATCTCATTTAAACTGTTTATGGGTATGTATTTTATTTTTCTTGCCAATTTTGTGCAAATGATGTTTCCGCCCATTTCATCATTCGTTGTGTTTTTATATTAGCCCTGTCCACCTATTTCATCATTCGTTGTGTATTTATATTAACCCTGTGTTGTCTACCACCGGTGAGAATCTCCTCATCAGATTGGCAGTACTGCTGAATAATACAACAATAAATGTTCCTCCAAATATGCACCCATATTGTTATGTCTCAAGTGCTGCCACAGGGAACCCGAAGAGATGCTGCAGTCACCTTCACCCAGATAAGCCCAACACAGACACCTCCATGTCATATCATGCCACCATGTCTGGCAGCCCTGCTACAGGGACCCATCGATTTTACCAATTCCAGACACATTACATTCACATGCAATCTTAGTCCTTCATTCACTCGGAGCAGTGTTGGAAAGTAGCCCTCTAATTGCGTGTTCAGTTAATATTTCACGTCCTGCACACTAGTACTTGAGGCTGATAGATTTTAAGACTACCGTAATATCCCGAGATAACCCACTAAAATATGGAGCAAATTGGTCGAAACTGAAGGGTGGGCTAACTTATAGAGACCGACCAAAAAAAGTAAAACATTGCATTGCAGGCAGGATGGGAACACAGACTTTCAAAGAATGTGGAAGACAATTTCACTGCGGTCTATTTATATAGCTAGTCAAGCACGGTATCACAATGTGAAAATTAGTTTACAGTTGCAGACTCGTTTTTTTTTTGTTTTTTTTTGTCTTCACAGGACCATCACTTGTCCTACATAGGCAATGTATGACTGAAATTTCGGATGCTGTTTAACTCTTTGCTAAATTTTTAGAGCACAAGATGGAACGATCCCTCGGCATCACATGCGCTAACGCTTACGAGTTCGGTCCATTAGTGAATACGAAGAAAGCGAAACACAAACAGGGGACAGAGACTGTTCTGTGTTTTGCTTTCTTTGTATTAAGTATTAACCCAACATGTTCGCCATACATCAATTAGCAAAGATGTTGCCAGTAGAAAACACAATTTGCACTCATTACGAATAACAAATGCCCGGGTCGGTTTGCCGATTACTGCAGTTTTTCTCTGGATAAGAGACTTTCCAGTGTAGGGACGAGGCAGTACCTAAATGACTGCCGTACATACCTCTTCGCTACCATCATAAAATTCAGGTTCAGCCCTCTGAAAAAGCACGAGGAGGCTAGAAATATAACTGAAATTAACCGCATTCTTGTACTTAAGGAACAACGGAACAACATTACTTAAAGAAAAAATTATTTAAATGTGCTTGATGACGTGATTTATATGGATATACCAGTTTGTAGAAACATATTTTTGCAGTTAAACCAGTGGCTGGACATTCAAGTTTTTTCTCCCGCCCAGAAAATTCTGAACTCAATTTCCAATGGAAGAAAAAAAAAAATCATGTTCGATATTTTTATGGTGCACTCTTATAGTTCTAATTTTATATCTTTCACAAAGTTTTTGGTTTATTCCTCGTTACTCCTCCACTAACAAAACGCTAATGACTTTACATGTGTAACAGGATATTAATAGGGATACAAACCGATTCTGTTTGGTTTGCTTATGAAAAACAAGTTAATAAATTACAGGCACCTAAAAGCACTTATTTTCATACAGATATCATAACCAAAAACAATACACATGGAAGCGCCAGTTTTTCAATCATATCAAAGCTGCAAGAAACCATTCAAAATTCATTCTGGACAATTTTTGCAACTTCGGTATGACTGCACAATTCGAGATTCTATAGATGATTGTTCCTGGTATACTCAGTGCCATGATAACTCGGCGAACTGTGGAGGCTAGGGCCCCGCGACCAAATAAGAGCGTCCGAGCGAGGCACGCGAGCCGACGTCACGGGAGCATGTGTCACTACGCCAAACGCGAGGCGCGAGGCCCGGAGGAACCGGCTGTTGTCTGCTAGCCAAGAGTCATCTGTTCCGAAACCAACTAACGTTAAATGAACGTCCACCGCAGCAACATTTCTGTCCGCTAGAATAGCAAGCACTTCGGAAACATTTCATGAGACAACCATACGCTTTATTTAGCCACGAATCTGTAACGGGGGCTAACGCTAGGGCGCAGTGTGATGTTTTCAGTGGAAACTGACGATTACACGGCTGCGATCGCTGGCAATCGCCAACAGCCACGGTGCTACAAGGATAAAAAAAATCTGGAGCGGATACGGGTGTGACTCACTTTTTTGGTTTAAATTGACACAAATTTGTGATTATTCATTCTTTACTCTTTGTATCTTCTCGCTAGATATTGAAGCACGCGAGTTAATTTGCCGTTAAAAAAAAGAAAAAGCCTAGAACTACTTTTGGTCACGGTGCTGCTGTGGCGGTAACGAGGCCCCTGTGATCTCGACCATGAAGTGTTATCACGTGCCTTGCTCCGGCGCTCTTATTGGGTCGCGGGGGCCGCAACCTCCACAGTTTGCCAAGTTATTGTGAAACTGAGTATAGAGGCATCTATAGAAAAATAAGTATCATGTCCCTGTGATTTAATCACTAGCTCTTCATTTGCAAATCAAGTAAAAAGGTATGCATTCTGATCATCATCTTGTTCGCCTGTCAAGCCATCTACATTCTGTCGGCAGAGGAGTCACAAGGAATAAACCTAGAACTTATGTACAGGGTGTCCCAAAAAAAAAAATAATAATTATGGGGTGTTTTTCATTACAAAAATAAACTATGCATCGCCGAACGCTTATTCTCCACCCAAATGCAGCACTTGAGGTTCGAACCAGATGCCAAAGTTTTGACACTAACCATTATCTTATTCAAAAGTCACAAGTGATTTTCTGGAAATTTCAATCGGAAAATGGCGGCCTACGGAGCTCTGTCTTAAATACGCGGAGCTCCATGGCACTAGAAACCGAAAATGGGTGAAAATGGGCCCCATCTTCCCATCGTAAATTTTGAGGAAATCACTTATTTTTTAACAAGATATTGGTTCGTGCTGAAACTTTGGCATCTGGTTCGGTCCTCTAGTGCTGCATTTTGGCGGAGAACGAGCGTTGGGCAATGCACATTTCAAAGCGATGGCGTTAAGGGGCTCGTGTCACAAATAAGCCGGTGTCGGCAGGACGGGAAAATTCCGATTGGTCGACAGGGTCGTGACGTCGCAGCCACGTGACCTTGCACGGGAATTTCAAACAACCCACAACATTCACGTGAAATGTGACGCCACGCCTAAAATGAAAGTGATTAAAAGATTACATGTAATGCTAATTAAAGGTAGCTGCATGTCTCAAATTGTTTCACTTTATAAAATAATTAATTTGCCCGAAAGAAAAATATTGAAGAATTTTAGGCGGAGGCATATATCA